AAGTCAACAGCGTTCATCGCTTATATTATCCAGCCAACTTATCGTCCACCACTCCACTTTATATATCATTCGATAGAGAATTTCGCGGCCTACGAACTGATATATGAAATGTTGAAATCAAATTGGATCTGGGTATCCTAACACTAGAAATACTACTGGGGAGTGATGTTTTGGCATCGACAGATAGGCTAAATCGATATAAAAGCGACCATCATTTACATCGACCTTTGACGTCAGTGACGAGACCTACCTCGTATTATAGAGCTCAGCAAGCTGAACCGTATACATAGCATCATTTTAATTTTTTGTCTATCTCTTGTTATGGTTGGGGATTTAGAAAAAGTATTTCTTGTGCAGTTGTATGATACCATGGTTGTTGTCATGCCCTATCACCATATTTTGTAATGTCTGTTCTTTTAGGTGTAACACATATAAACGTTTCTTCAATGTGGCAAATCAATTTGTTTAATTAATTCCGATGTTAACCATCCTTTTACCCGTCCTTTTCGTTATCAAAAGGTAAGGTTGTTACAAACAAAGTCGAATGCAACAGAAAATCCAGAAGTTTTTTAAGTTACAGTTATAATTAGTAAGTCGTAAAGCTCTTTTTATAAAAGCTTAAGCTAAACGTTGTATACCTACTAATAAAAAAACGTTTAAACGAACGTGAAACAAAGCTGTTTTTGCTGCATGTGCCAATAGCAAGCAATATTGGAAATATTAGACTAAAATTATTCGAGTTCTGCCTCTGTCTACTTTTCAAGGTTATTGATTGTCTTCGAATTCGGATGGCAATATCTAACACTCAAAGACTCAGTCATTATCACCTAAATTTTCTCATTTAATCTTAAAAAAAATTTAAAATAAAAACACTATGGAATTTCATTGTGTCACAACATTGAGATAAATATGTAGAAAGACGTGATTTAACAATTTTATTCATAAAACGTGTTTAAAACTAGAATTATGATCTCTTTTGAACAGAGAAAAAGGTCTTGATTTTACTGACGTAAAAGAAGTTATTTTGATTTCCCGAAGCAAATTGTGACAGAGAGAGATAAAAAAATAGTTCGATAGATTATTAACTATTTCCAAGCTTTGAGTGTGTCCAGTCGATTTTATCGAGCGTAAATGAACACAGAATCAAGTTATCGAGCGGAACAAGTTACGACAAAACCAGCAACAAAAAAAGAAAAATATTTTAAATTAACATTTCATGAGTTATTAACTATTTTGTGTGCAGCTACTGTTCCCATAGCTATTGGCATTTATACAACAATAACGACTGATCGACAAAGACAAGCAGCTGAAGAACGACGTCAATTTGATTTGAAACAAGCAACTGAATTGCAACAACAACAAATTCATAATGATTTTATTGATAATATTTATACATTACATAGAGATGGTAAATTAAATGAAATATCCAAACCATGGGCATTTGCTAAAGCATGTTACAGAGCTGCGCATCGTCAATGGGATCCTGTTCGGAAAGCACATGTATTACAATTTCTCAAAGAAAGGGTTGATTGGGAGACAACAATGCACAACAGGCTGCGAAGTTAAACAATTGTTAGATATTATTCAATTAAATAAACTGGATTTAGACAATGTTCATCTAACAAGTCAAACTGGAAGTTTGAATATATTGAATGTGATGTGTTCACTTTGATCAAGTTTCAATGATAAATGCATCATTCAATTTTACCAACCTTAATGGTGCATCATTTGATGGTTTACGGTTAAATGGGGGCGACATTTCAAGGTTCTTCGCTCACCCGAACCAGTTTTAATCGCACGGAATTGGAAGGTACGTATTCTGATGATTCAAATTACGAGGTGCACAGTTCATTAATGTTAATTTGTCCACGACGAAAATAACATCAGATCAACTGCAACAAGCTATATGCTACAATACAATAATAAATGTATCAGCGAGCAAATCGACGATAGCAACAGGTATTTCCTTCTAAAAACTGTTTTGAGTTCAGCACGCAAAAAGGGATTTTGGTGACAAAGGAGGAAATCGGTACCCATCATTACACTGCAACTAAAAAAAACAACAACTTTTCCAACCTCCTATGTACTACGACCATGTTTGTTTACAGTGCTGAACATAAAGCTGCTATTTACCCCTTTTATGATTCACCAACTACTACAACGCATTCCGCATCAACTTTTAGCACGTATCCATGAGTATCTTACCGATTGCAAATACGCGTCTAAACGCGATTTTTCTTTGAAAGCGCTTCTGAATCGCAGTTTTTTATCCAAAATTATGTTTTATTAGGAAATCGCGGTTAAATAACGCGCGCAGTTGCTCGCGATTCGAACTAGTAATCGCAGCTTTCTTAGCAATAATCGCCTCTTTTGATATTGTACCTACGACCGACTGTATCTGTTGGTGGACCATGGTTGTACTCAAATCACCAGCAGAATGCAGTTTCCACCGTTTAATCGCGATTTTTCTGTAGTTGTAAATAATCAAATTTTACAAAGACACGCGATATACTGAAAAAGAAATGCGATTTCTGTATTCGAAACCTCATTTTGTAAGTCAAACTGGAAGTTTCCGATTCATAGCAGTTTTGGACAGAATACAATCATTTACGATCTGAAGAAAAATGCGCATTTTCTAATAATCACAGTTCATCGCGGTTACAGAATAACATGTCTCTGCCTGTAGTTTCAGCACAGAACGCAGGTTTTCACATGCTGCAAAAGCTTTAACTAAGCTGTCAAACATTTTTATATTTTAGCAGCTTCAACGAGTTCTTCAACATCTACGAGTGCTACGTCCTTAGGTAAGAAATATTCTGAAGAAACAGTTCTTATTTATTTGTTTAAACATTTAGATGCCGAGATCTAGGGATATATATTGACTACAGACATGACGACTCAACCTAACCCGACCGCTGATATCGAAGTGTTGATTACTAATGACACACTGCGAGATACATGAGGACCGAACTTAACCCGATCCCGAGATCTACCCAGATGAAATTCATCTTACAAGATCTTGTCTTAGGATATTGTAAGATCCTGCGGAATCTTGTAACTTCTTGTCATAAGATCTTACGTGATCTGCTCATAAGACATAACAAGATCTTACTATTTCTTGTAACACGAAAGCGTATCATCTTACAAGATCTTGGCATTGAGAGACGTGACATCTATTTATTTCTCATCGCAAGATCATACGATTTCTTGTTATAAGATCTTATATGACCTTGCAGAAATCGATGACTCATTCTTACCACATAAATTTTACTGTGATATTGAGTATATATATAACACAGAACTTCCCAGATCAAAAAATCAGATCAAGATCTTACATGATATTGTGAAATCTTACAAGATCTTATAAAATCTTGCGGAAAATTACAAAAACGGATTCATCTTATAAAATCTTATAAAATTATACAAGAATCTGACGAAATCTGATGAAATCTTACTAATCTTACTATAAGATCTTACATCACGAATCAGTTTCTGAATATGTTTCTTACAGAATCTTACGAATTCATATATAGTGTGGGGACTGACG